GACGGTCCAAACCTTCCTTGGATGTCTGAGCGAACTCAGATCCAGTAATGTTCATTTGCTCAAAACACGTTTGTTGGTTTTCTTACGTTTCTTTTTCCCAACAGGTCCACGAGATGGTCTCTCGGCTGTCGATGAGGATTTCTCCATCTCGTCCAAGCATGAACACTTTTTTTGTTGCTTCATCAAAAAAATAAAGATTGAACTCTCCTGAGGTTGAATTATCTGGTGTCTTTGGTCTTTAACGCTCATAGTTGATGATGAAAAGTAACGTGAATGTGTCCAGTATCTTCCAGATGTAACCAGATAAGAATCAACTGTTAAATTATGAAAATATATGTGAACTAGTTCTAATACTGCAGTAGGGAATTATTAATAATCTGAAGGAATCAGATTGTAAATGAAGATGGTCGACTAATCTCCACTTCCTGCTGCCGCCATCTTGAAGTCCTGTTCAGTGTCCTGCTCGACCAATCAGGAGTCAGTCTCAATCATTCCTGTGAAGTTGGTTAAAAACTTGATTCAAAATGTCAGAACCTTCTTTAAACTTTCATTTGAGGTTTGATGTAATAAATTAACGTATGATTCTGTCACGATGATACTTTCACACAATGAAGCCGGGCATTTCTCTCACTACGCGTTTTTACGGAGCACATTGACCCTCCCGGGCCTCCGTAGCCGCTGTCACAGTTGTGCTAGCTGTTAGCTGCCGTGTAGCTAGCAGCAGGAGAGGGCGAGAAGCTAACAATGGCGGCTGTGCTCCCCCAGGTAAGAGCCCCTGCGTTAATAAACACGCTGTTTCCACTGTTCGCGGTTAAACGAGCGAACACAGGCGTTAACACGAGCTAACGCTGGCGTTCCTAGCTTGCATGCTAACTGGCTGCTCCAGTGACGTCATAAAAGACGTGAAGTCATCTGCTCGCCTCTGAGGTTTATTGACTTTAGCTGTTAGCACACGATGCTAACCTAGAGCTGCTGTGTGTGTGTGTGGTTCCAGGACGAGCTGCTGAAGATGAGCCACAGAGAGAGCTGGAGGTGAGCACTGTGTGTGTGTGTGTGTACAGGTGTGTGTATAGAGAGAGGTGTGTGTATGTACAGGTGTGTGTATAGAGAGAGGTGTGTATGTACAGGTGTGTATAAATAGATGTGTGTGTGTACAGGTGTGTGTATATAGATGTGTGTATGTACAGGTGTGTATA